GAATTTGTCACCGCTTTGTGTGAGATGGGCAGCTATATAAATACAATAGATAAATAAATATGAGCAAATGGGCACTAATGCAAAAGAACGTTGCACTGAGAAGAACTTTCAATAATATAAATTTGATAAATAAATAAATATGAGCAAATGGGCACTAATGCAAAAGAACGTTGCTCCTATTTAGAAAAAAATGCTTCCAGGCATAGATGTAGAACTGACAGAAGAGAAACATCAGATTCCTGGAGGACTAGAAGTACTGAAATCTATCTCTAATTCCCTAATTTCTTCCCTATTAAAGAAGTTTCCCTTTCCTACCTTATTTTCAGGATGCTTAAGACTTTCTTTTGGATTTCTCTGGAGATGTTTTTGAGCTTATGTTCTTCCTGGAAATGGTAGAGGGAACTGTTACAATCATTGTTCAATCTTCTCAAGTCCTTGTAGCTGTCCACACTTCCCCTTCCAGAAAAATTCCATAGGTCTCCCGTGAGGGTTCACTGAAGCATAGGGAGCCAGGAGGGCTGCATACTGAAACTGAATGAGAACAGTTTTTCAACACAAGACTAGAAACTGGAGAACTATTTTGGATGGCCTTTGGTTGTTATAGTTAGTATGTTATATTGGAAAATTTATACATTCTCTGACTCTTTCCTCAGAGATCTGCAATAGCTGAATCAGAAGTTATCAACTTATCGTAGTAATTACTGCTTGAGTTATTTATGGGCTGTCTTATGCAAGAGGTCAGTTGTGTAGCAATAATAATAGTCTCTGTAAAACACAACATAGTTACTCTTATGTGCATTTCGGTGGAGATCAATGCTTTCTGTGCTGGCCCATTGGTTTTCCATCCAAAATGTTTCTGAAAAACATCAGTATTGGGAGATTTAGTTATCATTGGCAAGTTGTCCATATTAAATGTGACATCAAATGCAGCAAAATTAGGGTTTTTTTCCTTTCATGCAGTATTTTTCTTCTAACTGAAGTGAACAATGCCGTTGCCATAGAAACAGCCTTTCTGGAAAAGGTCACTTGCAAGAAACTGTGTTTTAGGTGCAACTCGAGGAGATTATGGGGGATTATTTTATGTGTATGTGTGTGTGTCTGTGTGTGTGTGTGTGTGTG